CACAGAAATAAAGCATTAAAAAAAACAAGCATTCTGAGAGTATTGCATTAGCAATACTAGTCCCCTACCGGCAAGTGTAATCTGGTTCCCGTTAAAAGTTGAAAATGCCATAATTCCGTCAAAAATCAATGAAGCGGAACGAAATGCAAACTTGATCTGTAACTCATCAAGATACACTCACATACCAAAAATCAGCTCAATATCTGCAAGCGTTTAGAAGAAAAGTGCGGAAAACCAAGTGGGGACAGACTGACAGACAGACAGAGGGACAGACGGACAGACAGACAGACGGACGGACAGACTCAGAGGAAACCTATAGTCCCCTCCGGTTTCACCTGTAGGGGACTAATAAAAAGAATACTTTGTTAAACCGATTTCTATATAGAATTATTTTAACCGATTTCTATATAGAATAAGTCAAAATTTTGCAACTAATTTGGAAGACGAGTACAGTAATTACTACATGCATATTATTTACACGAAAAAAAACTTCTAGAACTTGGTCGTTTGCTCTGGAAATTAATGCCAGTGTTTAACATTTTCGATAACGCATTTATGGCATGTAAAAAACCGTTCATGATTTGAGGCTGTGTTCTCCCCTTATTGTCATCAAACAGTATGTATGAAACGACCCTCTTGATTGAAAATAATCATGTCTTCACGTAGTTATATATGCGTTTAAAACGTGACTATAACTGAATTTAGGAAAGTCACGTACTGTGCCATTATCTAACGGAAAAGCAAGAAGTTTGATCCATCGTGTCATAATTAGATAAGTTTCAAAATCTAAAATCTTGTTACGCATTTCAGGTTTTAGAAATCGGCTTTTAATTGCAGTACTATTTACGTCATTCTCATCTAATAAGAGCACATGTTTTTAATTAAGAAGAAAAATAGACGGGCCACTGGATGGGAAAGAAATATTGATGTTGATATTCTTTTCATCTGTCCTATACAATATAAAACAAATGATTTTTACGGGAAGTATACGTACATGTATTGCTTGTATTTTTAATATTTGAGCTTAATATATTCACAATTACTTGTATTTCTGCAGTTATTGTTCTAAATGCAGATCTCAAGTTTTGAAACAGTAGAGCTACATATCAGTAACTGCAATCCCTCAGATTTCTTCCATATAATTAATAAACATCAATATCATATTTTTTATATTTCCAAGGAAATGTGTTTCAAAGTAAAGACACATGAAGAAGAGAATTAAGACTATTAATATTATCGTTACAATCAAAAGTAAAGACAATTATCAAATAACACTTCGGGATAATAAACGCAAAATGTGTCGACAATATGCTTTGGAAAAGGCCCCTTCTAGCTCTATATACTACATGCATTGACGAGAAATAAAATAATGTATGAGAAACGAAAATTAAAACGAATAATGTAACCTAAAGTCGTTAACCAAAAGGGAAATCGACAGGCTTTTTGTGAAGACTTAAACAAATCCTGGTCCGATAGGTAGTCGCTACGTTTATACCGAAGTGATCCTTTAGAATAAGGAAGTAAGTTTCTTCCCAAAATACCAACACCAGACAGGTAATATGTTAAAAATTCTTCAAAACTTTGATTTAATTAAACGTTCTTTTGTAAACTTAGAAGCTTTTATGTTTCTAAAACAATTGTCTTATATCCAAGCGCAATGTTTTGTCTGTGCTATTTTTGAATGAAATATCAAAGTGAGCATCTCATCTGGCTTGAAGGCATTTTAGTCTAAGAAAAGGAAATAATGTATTAAAGCGCAGTAGAGTGTTTTCTCATTAACAAATAGACACGTATTGATCAGGTAAACTATATGTGTATCGTTATTTTCCGCATAGAGTTAATCGAGTTTGTCATTGTCAGTGAATGTACAATACTGGATGAAAAAGTGATAAGTATCAAAACGTGTTTGGTCTGGTGATTCTATTTAAGAAACACAATTTTAAGTAGAGTTTACCAAGCTACTTTCGTAGTAGGGGTATTATAATATAGGCTTTCCAATTAGAAAAACTTGAAAGGGTTAGTGCATTAAATTGTTTTCATGACTTCGCGTCATTTCGGATATGTTAACGCCCTACAATTAAAAATCTATTCACTTCTTAAACAAAAGGTTTTGTTGTGTGATATAAGACGGATGTCCTCACATGCACCATTAAGAATATGTTCAAGGTCATTTGTAATGAACCTAAATTAAACCACGAGATTATACACATTTCTGATTTTAATTAACTGCACTGATTGACTTCAGCTGCTGTAGCATTCATCTACAAAATTTTCTTTCGTGATTATGCCTTTCAGTTTATCAAAAGGTAACTGAAATTTTACTGAAATGTGACTGAATGGCTTAGCTCTGTCATTCAGTCATCATTCCAGATCTTTCAGTTAATATTCACTTGCTAAGTGGAGCAGTTTCATCCGATAATTCCAAAATCAGCTGATAAAGCCGTATAAAACTGCAGCATAACTGATCAGGGATAAACCGTTAACTACCTCTCTTTTTAATTCTGAGATTAAATTAATCTAATTTTTCTGGTTAATGATAACACAATCTTAGAGAAAAGATTTACAACAGCAAACAAAACAGTATGATGTAAACATAATGTCAGGAACATCATCTCAGTTTTATAAAGTGTATTAAAATTTTCCATTAAAGTTTATTACTATCACCCTTGCCATAGACAAAAATATTTCTGAAGACCTTATTTTGCTTAGGTATTCATATACCAGCCGTTCTCTACAAAAGTTTTAGTAAAGTTGAAATGCATCAGCATATTTTTTTAAATTTTTTATTTATTTATTTTTTTTTTTTTGATAAACATATCGAACAAAAATACGTTTTATATGCTTTTCTTGCAATGTAATTTTCACAAGTATTGACAAAAGCATGAAAATATATAAACGATGTGGAATTATAAAGTTTGTCAATTTAATTTGAAGGTATGATCTTCTACAGAAATCTCTTATTGGTTCATTAGCGAAAGTAAAACTGTAATTACATCATCTTTTACAAGAATTGAAATAAATGGAACACGTCAATTTGTGTATTAAATATCTCCATTTCCAATGTTAGATAGTTTAATAAAGTAAATCCATATGTTGGTCTGGCACTTAATGTTCTGGTATAGTGGTTAATTGTGAATATGCCTGTCGCAAATTGTGGGATAATACCATTGATTGCACCTTGAGTTTTGAATAAATCAAAATTCGATAATCATGTTGCAGAGGTTGAATTGCCAAAAATGGCATATTTGATCTTTTTAATGAGGTAGGATTAAAGAATTTGACTTAAAATCCCTAATAAAAAGACATTTTACCTCAATCTTTACAATTTGTACAAGATTGCACACAAACTTCAGATGAATTTTTAGTTCATCTTTAAATAATGCGTAAGTTTGAGTATATCATCACCTCTTTTATTAATCGTGAGCGAAATGTCAAATAACAGATAATTGAAAGCTTAGAGACCCAGACTATTAATGGCAATATTTTCAATAAACAAATAGCAGTATGAACGTTAACGGTTTCGAGCAACTGACAATATTAAAACATGTCTTACATCTCAAAGAACAAGATTTTCACTAGTATGTCTTATGCTGATAGGAACAATGCTTAACCATTAAACTTCTAATTAACATTCCTTGAACTTGCCCAACGGTAAGAGAATGTATTTTGAGAAGTAAATTTTTCGCCACGCTTAAGTAATGTTCTAAGTTTTAAGATTAAAAAGCAGTAAGTATTGAAAACTGAATCTTATACGAGGGGATTCTATTTGGTGCATTGCAAGCATTGAATAAGGTAACTATTATAATGATTAATTCGTTTTCTTGAAACGGTGCTCTTATCAATTGATATATGTCAGCCAATTTTAGTTTAATTATGGTAGAAATGGGAATTTACATATTCCAGTAACTGCAGAATGTGTAAAAGTGTCCAATGCTGACAAAATTTTAAGGAAACTTGCATATAATTTTCGTTGCTCATTCTTAGTATTTTTTTTTTTTTTTTTTAAATCCCTTTTTTTAGCAAGGATTAATGTGTTTTTCAAAAATTTATCAACAGCAACTCAAATTTCAAAGGGTGATTATTATTTATTTATTTGTTTGTTTTACGTCCCTTCGAGAATTTTTTCACCCATATTGAGACTCTACCACATGCCGGTGGCGGGCTGCAAATTAAGATTTTGATTATAGTAGAAATCTTCATTTGAATTCAAAATAGCGAGTTGTAATTATTACTTATAAGATTATAAAGATACACGAAATAATTCAAATTTTCTCTGATTATAAATGTATAAAAAAAGAGCCAAGAATGCAAAATTTAGTACGTTCGCTGAAAACATTACCATTGCGTGTGAACAAAAAGCATTAATAAATGAACAATATCCTAAGTTCTTTACTTAAAATCATTTTCAAAGAGCTGTCCTTGTCCTAGTTAAATTGAAAAGGGAAAACATTGCTTTTGATGTTACATTAGTTTTCCCCCTCATTTTCAAAAGCTCAAATAGTGCTGCTTTTAAGTTACAGGGAAGTAATTAGAGTGGCTATGACATGCATTTCTCAACTGATGCTGAAAAAGAGAGATTTTTAAAAATTGAAAGGATTACCAACATGTTATCTAATGTAACTCATCTCCTAGCGAACGTGAAAGCAGATTCATTCCAGTTTATGTAAGTCAAGCAATATTACTGGCAATATAACTTTTTTTTGTTGTTAAATATAGCTGGCATCACAAAGTTTGTCCACTCTTTCATTTTTCTTACATCACTTGTAACACAGAAACATTTTTTGTCCTGACAACTTAGCAACTTAACAAGATTTTCAGATCTTTATGATCATTTGCAGTCCCTTTTATAGATTTTCCAGAAGAATCAGCAATGTAAAGTATAGAACTATCTTAAAAGAAAAAGGAAGAAAATCATACTCGTAATTCTTATACTGAAGCAAATTTTCAATTCTCTTCAAGTATTGTTTTGCAATATACTTTTGACAAAAAAAACTACTTACCTCATATGTATATTAAAAATCTAGCAGTAACTAGAGGAGTGTTACACTCTATTATCATTTAATTACAGGACGAACATCCAGTGCGTGCCTCTATACCTCACTATCTAAAATCGCCAATAAATCTATACCTCCTCCACGCTGAAATGCTCTTAAATGCTGAGACAGTGGGTAAGAGAAGCACACTGATAACATAGGGACGTCGTAGGCTTCAGATTGTTTGCAATCAATACCCGTAGAATGAGAGCGCGTGGAATCTGCACAGTGACAAATAATCAAAAATTGGGAGGAGAGATGTAAGGGCATGTCAGGGTATTGAGATGTTTTTGATATGTGTAGAAAGGATACAAAAAGGTCTTTTTCTAATCTGATTGCATTCATATATGTGTATAAGTCTAAGTTGCTGTACAAACCCTTTTTAAAATGTTCATCAAATCCATCTTATTTTGCTTTAAAATGAATAAAACCAGATATTAACACAAATCTCAAGACTTGATGAGAAGTGGGAAAAATAATTCTCAAATACATATGTTCTTGACATTTAAATGCTAAAAATCACTGATTCACTTCTAGCCACGTGTGATTCTTGTAAGAAAAAAAGGAGACTTTTAAATCATGTCTCTAATATTTTTGTGTACCTTAAATGGCCAGGCTTTTAAGACTGAGATTTGGACTTTTGTACTTTTGTAAGCTTAGGGTAAAAACTTTAAAATTAACTTCCAATTGTGTCTGAAATTTTTTTCTATGCAATATAAAAGTCTGAAAACACCTCTAGATCCATTTTTTTTTTTGTTTATCTTGTTTTTGCCTCAAAGTCCTTCAGGCATATTCGGATTTTTTTCTCTATACTATCAATATATGACTTATGTAAAATTTACCTGTTCCAAAAGCATTAAAATGAAATTCATTCTTATGAAAAACATACGTATCCATTTTTTGAGGAACAACTTCTAAATGTGTATATCTCCTTTTCTGCTATGTTTTAGTGAGAGAGAGGAATCGTTAAAGGTATTTTTTTTAATCATTCTAAATATAAAAGTATTTAAATAGTTATAGGATAAATGAATATAGAATCGATGCACAAGTTGATTGATAAACCTTATCTTAATTCTGAAAAATGATGAAAAAATTGTAATATCGGAATAGAAATGCAATCTTTCTAACGCAAAAAGACGCAAAAGATATCGTTTAAAACTTTGAAGTTACAAAAATCGATGAATTAAGTCAAGAATTTCTCTCTGCAATTTTACTTCTTCAATTTTGATTAGTTTTAAGGCTGTAAAACCCATGAAAGCATCTTTTTGTTCATTTGCAAGGAATGTCTTTCCTTAAGTTTCACATAAGCAATTTATTGATTTCTTGAATTCATGCTACTTTTTCTTTCTCTTTTTTACATTCTATAATTTCTGTAGAAAAAAAAAAATAAAAAATGATTTTTTTCACAAAATATTTAAAGAACAAGACACAATTCAAACTTTGAATAAAAAATAGCACGCAATAATAATAGGTATAATATATATTGAGATAACAGATTATAACAACAAAAGAAAAAAAACTTTGAAAAAAACATTATTCGTAAATCTTACAATTTCATTTGTCAAAAAAAATCTTTTGATTTACCTTTATTTTTCAGACAAATTTTAATTTCTTGTCAGCTCACAGAAAAAATCTACTTCTCAAGCAAGAAATTTATTCTGTTATGAACAAATTGGGATTTTGCTGCAAAATATTAATACTTCTGTAACCTTCATTGCCAAGTTTATTTATACAAAACGAGGTAAATTTATTTGATAATAATTTGATAGTTGAGCTGTGCAGAGATTCTTTAATCGTCAAAAACATTTTACAAGAAAACAGCCGAACACTTAGAGCTTGTGGAACTAATACGCAAACATTCTTCTGTATTTGAAATCGTTTTAACCAATCTTTACTTTGTATTCTAAATTATTTTATATATATATAGCCTTTCTGAAATTTGGAATATGCCTTTTGTGAAGAAAATTTATGATTTCTGCTAAAAATATTTTTTTTATCAGAAATACATGTATGTAAAGATATATATATCAAAATCGATATGAATCTGCTAATCAGATGCTTAAATTTCTAGATACGATTTTAGTTATTAGTTGCTTTTCATTTCTTATTGGGGTTGGTCTCTTCACAATATGATGCCTAAAATTCAGATCATGATTAATCAAAACTAAATGATTTTAATTATATCATTTACTGGTAATCAGCAGTTTATTTAATGATGAATTATACTGCACCAGTGTATCCAGAGTTGTCCACGACGTGTAAACATTTGTCAGTCTCTCACATATCTATTACGAATACGATCTATTCTGATATGTGACCTTAATTGTATATCTTACTTCACAACCGTTAATGCGGGATGAGAAATTCTTAGAACTAGATGTGTCAAAAATGGAGTTTACATGTACTTTGAGTTTCTTTTTTACTTTATTATTGTAAAAAATATAACGATATCTACTTTAGATGATAAATTATCATTTTGGATGATAAAGTATCATTTTCACCTTTTCATTTTAACTTGAATAAGAAAATAAGATGTCGAAATCTTGGACAAATTGAAAAGTAAAGCAATTTTGATTCTTATTTCAGAGGCAAGGAAGCATTGCTGTCATTTTGCTGACATGACACATTTTAGTCCTCGTGGAAAAGGGAGTCTGCTTGTGTAATTGAAATTTTCAAGGTTTTCAAATACGGAGTTTGTGGTTTAACTAGAAATTGCTACGTTTTCCTCTAAAAATGTTTTCATAAGAGATGTTTCCCTCTAGACTTGCGTCAACAATGTTGGTTGTTGCATTTTTCTCTATTATTTGCAGCCAATTTACAGCATTATTACCAACATTTTTTTACATCTGTGAATGAAAATGAAATGTTTTGATTGCATCAAAGAACTTGGAATCTACCTTGGCGTCTACCTTGTATTTGATTTGTTTTTTTTAATAAAACATATCAGTTTTGACTACTCCGTACTTAACTATGATTTGTTATGGCTATATTTATTCCTGATCATTTCTTATGTTCACCTTTAACTTTAAATTGAAATTACATGTAAAGACGTCTTTTTAATAGTGTCATTTTGTTGCATAAGACCTTCAATTTTCACCTTGAGCGTCCAGTTAAACTCTGACATTGAAATGTTTATGGTTAATATAAACACATTTGCTAGTAGAACCTTTCGCTGCGTTTGATTAACATGTTTCATCATACAATACTTTACAGTGTAGGCTTTTAACGTTTTCATACCAATTTAAACTAGAGATTACTCCGTTTACGTAACAGTCCAGTTAAAACCCGGCATTGAAATGACATGTATATAGTTGATATAATGACTTTTGTTTGCAAACACACCCTATCGCTGCGTTTGTTTAACAAGTCTCATCATACAATACGTTACAGTGTAGGATTTTAACCTTTTCATGCTAATTTTAACTAAAGGGTACTCCGTTTACCTTATCAATACAAAAGGCTCACAGTGGATGTGACTACTTGATAGGTAATGTTTTCTATTCTTTCCCATCTGGTTCAAACTGTGGAACGTGATTTAAGGGGCTTATCTTTTTGCCCTGTTCTCGCTTTGTGTGTTAATAGGATCTTTGAGATTGATCACTTTTCAGTATTTCACCTTTTACGTAAATAGATACAGCAAAGGATTATGCAAATGGTTTCGAAGATCCATGCTGTAACATCAACTTCTTTGCCAGTACTAGTAACCTGTTTTGCTTTAGAAAATTATATTTCACAGAACATAATCTTGCATACCAAATCAGTTGAGATAGACATAGACACCATATTCAAGTTATCATGGAATATTGCTACCGTAAAATGTGAGAAATTTCGATGGGAAAGTTCAAGTAAACCTTTTTCATATACAGTGTACTTTGTTAATTTTGCACACAGCGCCTGTACTAGTTTCTTATTATAGTACATTTAGAAACGATTCAGAGCAGGGTCTTAAGGCAATAGCTATAGGTCGAGCGCCCCACCCGCCTCTTAAGCAAAAGAAAACAAATGTTTTAAATAAGTAAACTTTTGACACAAAGTTTCTAGTAAACTCATTTATTTACATGTTTAAATGGGTATTATTTTTTAACCAATCAGATGATTATGCAGCAAATTGAAGCGTTATTTTTTTTTACCATGCAATAACGACTAAAATTCTGAAAGTAGTGGACCTGTTTGAACTTATAATATCAATGTTAACGATTGCATTTGTTAAATTTCTATTACATATATCATGCTTATCCTATAATATGAATTTTTTTCTTTTTTCTTTCTATTTTTTGGTAAGTTTTCGGTTTTTTCTACAATGTGTAAACGTTGTTACTCGCATTTTTATAATTTCCAACTAAAGTGGAATACATTTTGATACATAAAAGGTATTTGGGAAATGTATTCAAGTTAGAAATGTTTCGAGGCAAATGTATTTAGGAGTATAAACAGAGAATTTAACTACCGTTTTTGGTATATGTACGGATACCTTCCTTGCAACAGAAACAATTAAAACGATCGGGACAGGACAGGAGTAAATAACGGTAAGGCTGATTAGGAAAAAAGTCTCTTTAACCTTTTTTGATTGCGAAATTGTTTCTTTTGTCTCCATATTAAAAAATGTATGGTAATTTGTATCATTTCTCTTAACACATCGCTAGCAGTCTAAATGACTTTTATGTCTCTGTCATTTAAAAACGGATTCGACTTTCTATCATTGCTAATAGTATACTGTTCTGTTTTCTAGTAATTGTACAGTCATCATCAGTTGCATACGAAAAGGTATTTAAAGAGTGTTTTGTTTTTTTTGTTTTTTTTTTTTTTGTTTTTTTTTTTTTTGGGTTGTGGTTGTTGTTGTTGTACCGCTCAGGCTTCGAAGGAAAAAAAACCGGGAAGTACATGTGTATCTTAGCTGTGTACAGATGTAAACTTACGTCTCATATGAGTGAAAAATCTTTGCAAGGGACGTAAAACAACAATCAATCAATCGTAAGCAATGGAGTATGATAACAATAGATAGTTTTCATGTGACGTATTTAGCCTTGGAG